GGGGGGAGGTGTCGCCTCCGGGGTTGGTGCAAGGCGCGACCAGCCACTCTCTCGCCACGGAAGAAGCGGAGGCTGCGGGGGCGCTGCGGCGCGCCGCCGAGGCGGACGCGGCGGCGGCGGCGGCGAGCTGTCCGTCTGCGGGTGCCGAGTTTGAGTGGCGTGCCGGCGAGGGCAGCAGCGAGGAGGAGGACGCGGGCCCGCTGGACGACCGGGTGGAGGGGGCGATCGACGCGATCAACGCGGCGAGGGATGCGATGAACGCGCGCCAGCTCGACCTCGAGGCGGCTAAGCGGGAGCTGGGCGCCGCGGAGGCGCAGAGTGCGGCGGAGATCACGCGGAGGAGAGGAGATCACGCGGGAGGAGATGGTTGGAGTAGCCGGTGAGGGGGTGAGTCACTCCCCCGCTCAGGGAAGGAGATGGTTGGAGAGTAGCCGGTGAGGGGGTGAGCCACTCCCCCGCTCAGGGAAGGAGATGGTTGGAGTAGCCGGTGAGGGGGTGAGTCACTCCCCCGCTCAGGGAAGGAGATGGTTGGAGTAGCCGGTGAGGGGGTGAGTCACTCCCCCGCTCAGGGAAGGAGATGGTTGGAGTAGCCGGTGAGGGGGTGAGTCACTCCCCCGCTCAGGGAAGGAGATGGTTGGAGTAGCCGGTGAGGGGGTGAGTCACTCCCCCGCTCAGGGGAGGAGATGGTTGGAGTAGCCGGTGAGGGGGTGAGTCACTCCCCCGCTCAGGGAAGGAGATGGTTGGAGAGTAGCCGGTGAGGGGGTGAGCCACTCCCCCGCTCAGGGAAGGAGATGGTTGGAGTAGCCGGTGAGGGGGTGAGTCACTCCCCCGCTCAGGGAAGGAGATGGTTGGAGTAGCCGGTGAGGGGGTGAGTCACTCCCCCGCTCAGGGAAGGAGATGGTTGGAGTAGCCGGTGAGGGGGTGAGTCACTCCCCCGCTCAGGGAAGGAGATGGTTGGAGTAGCCGGTGAGGGGGTGAGTCACTCCCCCGCTCAGGGAAGGAGATGGTTGGAGTAGCCGGTGAGGGGGTGAGTCACTCTTCCGCTCAGGCACAGACCGCGCTCGAGATCACGCGGCTGCGCGAGCACGAGCACCGCGACAACCTCGCACAAGTCGAGAAGTATGAGTTGCTCAAGCAGAGGGCGGCGGAGGCGCGGGCGGCGGCCGAGGCGCGGGCTGCGGGCGGCGAGGACGCCGCCAGCAGCGGCAGCGGCGGCACCGCGGCCTCGGAGGCGACGACGGCGGCAACGCCGATGGCGCCGACGCCGGCAGAGCTGGCGGCGGTCGAGGCGATGGAGGCGCAGTCGCTTCGCATGGCTTGCGACCTTTCCGACGTCTTCATATCGCTGGTGCTGCCGCACCGCACCACCCGCGGGACTGAACCCACGCTGGGTTCGGTACTCTGGAGGTATGGTACCAGGTGCCGTACTTCACCTACGTGGGCGTCGCCGAGCAGTCCCTCGACGACGCGAGATAGAGCCGAGATAGAGCCGAGATAGAGCCCAGGTATAGCCCAGAGATGGCCCTCAGCCCTGCTGCCGTTATGTTTCTATTTCTAGGCGCGTTTCTGGCGGCAGCACCCCCCCCAAAGAAGAAATACTGCGCGCCATGCTTCTGCTCCTAGGCGCGCGCGGCGGTGGGGGCGGCGCAGGCGGCGGTGCGCGCGGCGCGGCGAGACTACCACACCTCGATGGACAATCTCGAGCAGATCTCGCTCGACATCCAGCGGGCGCAGGCGCACCGCTACCGCGCCACCCACCGCACCCAAACCCACACTGGATTCGACCACTCTGGGGGGTATGGTACCAGGCGGAGGAGCGGAGGCGAGCCGAGGACGAGTCGGCAGCAGCGGCGGCGCAGTCGGCGTGGGAGGCGCTGCTCGCCGCGACGGACGTGAGCGAGGAGGCGATGAGCGTGCCCGCCGCGCAAGCGGCCCTCGCAGTCGCGCGCGAGGCGCGTGCCGTGTCGATCACGAAGTGACACGAACTGAGATCACAACGGTGGGAGTCGTTCCCGGCGGACTCTCGCGTCCGTCCCATTCATCGGCCACCGGTCGGGCCCTTCCTCCTCAGCAACTCACTAAAGTCGTCGCTGCGAGCAGGCGCGCGTCGAGACAGAGCGGCTCGAGGCGGCGGCTGCCCTCATCGAGGGCGCAGAGGAGGCGCAGCGCCAAAAGGCAATCTCGGACGCCGTCGCGGCGGCCAAGCGGCACATACAGGCTGCGCGCGGCGGGGCGGCGGGCGCGGCCGAGGCGCCCTGATCGCCGGCGTGATAGTAGTAAATCGGGGTGCCCCCAGTGTCGCGTTATGTTGTCAGTCAGTCGCGTGTGTGTGGCCGCGCCGACCACAAGCGCGGTCTTTTTACTTTTAGCGAAAACGTGTCTGAAACTTTTTCTCGCAGCTCGAGCTCTCGAGCTCGACCACACATATTAACCCCACTTTTCACACGACTCGCGCTTGCTCCTGTTCGTACAACAGTAGTTGCCTTAAAGTTGCTTTTTTGCGCGGCTCCAGCCCAAGTTCCAGCCCTCCCCTGCGTCCTGGGTCTCTTCAGACTTCACACTCCAAGGGGCTGCTCACACACACACACACACACACACACACACACACACACACACACACACACACACACACACACACACACACACACACACACACACACACACACACACACACACACACACACACACACACACCTCTGGGCCGGCGCGGGGGCCCCCGGCCCACACCGTGCGCCGCGCAGCAGTGCGGAAACGGGGCTCCGGCTCTATGAGTCTCTATGAGCACCGACTTCCCGATCTAACCCGGTCTAACAGAGGGCAGATTTGGAGAGATCTCGAGGAGTACATACAGATAGACCCTCCAACCATCAGAAAACTCCGACCTGATCGGTCGTACTGACCGCCGACAGATCACTGCAGACAGCAGACAGGCCGACGTCTGCACGCGGCCGGCCGGGCGAGAGGCTTGACACGATCCGACCCTGCGACCCTGACGCTGCTGCTCTAGCTATCAGCCATGCACTGCTGACTGCTGCCACAATGTGCGACCTGTGCTGGCCCACTTGGCGGCCTTCCCGGTCAGTGGTGAGGCGCAGTTCAGAGCTGTCGATGGCGCGATGCCGCACTGGTCCCACATTGGTGACACGAGACCACCAAGTTTGCCGGTCCAAGAGAGAGGCACCGGCGCTGTCCTGAGAAGGTGCGTGGTCCCTCTTGACTGCCCATGCGCGCGAGGCTGTGTAGGCATAGCCTCGAGAGTGCCAGCAGCCCAGGGCTGCCACACACCCTGGAGTTGGCGCACACATAACTCAATCAAGGCCACTTCCTCCCTGTCGCCCCCCCCAGCACTCCACCGTGCCGATAATTCATTGGATGAGTGTTCGCAAGCAGAAGTGCGTGTGCTGATTCTAGGCCGCACGCCGTAGGTAGGTAGGTAGTAAGGTGAAGAACAGCCGTGGCCCAAATAAAGGTTTTCTTCATTTTCCAGGCAGTCGAGTTCGCGCTGTTCAGGTGTATATTATTTTTGCGTGGGGCGGACATCATGCCGGGGTAGGTAGGTAGGGTCTGGGCCCTCCCGTCGGGTTTTTCCCTCTCTTCACGCTGGAATTTTCACAGCAGAAAAAGAAATTTTCCCCGGAAATCACGATGTCAACCCTCCCCAAATGGGTGATCTGATGCTTGTAGGGCTTGAGAGTGGCCTGCCATGTCACAGGAAGGACTGTGGTTGCAGGATAGTACCACCAACCATCACTCTAGTTGGTATAGTACCCCACCTTCACCCATCCTGTGATTTCTTTTTTAGTTTCCCATAAGTAAGGTAGGTAGGTAGGTAGGTAGGTAGGGGCACCGCAGCGGCCGGTCAGGTTTTTCCAGAATTTCAGCATGATGTCCGCCCCACGCAAAAATAAACGCCACCTGCGCTGTTTGCTGTCGGTCCATCGGTCCGTGCTCCGACCTGGGACCGGCCCCGATCACGCGACCCCATGATCTCCGGCTCCTGCTGCGCCATCGTCGCGCTCGTCGCGCTCCTCTGCCTCAGCCAGCTTCGCATCTTCGCGCAGCGGCGGGAGCTCGCCGCCGCGCGAGAGCTTGCCAGCCTTGCTTCCGCCCGCGACCATCGGATCAAGGCTCGCCTCAAGCGCATGCACCGGCTGCTGAGGGCGGCCGAGGTGCGGGAAAACGTGTCCGTCTGCCCACCGCCTTCGCCTGTTGCCACGAAACCCGCCAGTGGAGACAGCGCAACCGGCACCGGCACCGGCTCTGGGACAGCAGAGGATGGCCTGCCAGCGTCTCTGCTTCTCAAGGCGCAGCGTTCCTGGGACTGGCGCGCGATCGCGTCGGAGGCGCTGCGTCCGTGGGGCTCCATCCGGAAGGAGCAGCTCGACACCGCCGTCGCCGCGTGCAACGACAACGGGACGATGTACTGTCAGCGTCTGCAGGCCACTGCCTAGACACTTCCGAGACATTTCCTGGACACTTTCGAGAAAAGACGATGTACTGTCAGCGTCTGCAGGCGCACTGAGCTCGATGCTCTCCCCAGCTTCTTTCTTTTTCTCCCCCTCCTTCCTCCTCCACCATCATCTTCTTCTTTCCCTACAATTAAGTCCTTTTCTCGCACCCTGGCTTTTCGTGAATCAAGTGCTACAAGGGCTCGACTCTAACCTCTATTTTCCTATCATTCTCCCTAATTTTATCCATATGTTGCACAAAGGGTTC